GTTAGTTTAGATCATATTTAGATATAAAACGTATGACAAATAAGGGCTTTGATTGACAGCTGAAAACGGGCTGCGCCGAGTGAATTTGACGTCTGACACATCCACCTCTGTATCCTTTCTGAAACTTTTGTATTTTCCAAGATTTTCCAGTATGGCGCCGCCCATACCCCCCATAAACAGCTTCAAACCCGTTCTTCAGAGAGTCTATGGGTGACGTCACAGACGCTTTGGCTATATTTTTTACAGTCTATGGTCTCGCCTGGTCTCGCCATGTTTACTTCCGGTATACTGCACGCAGATTTTTGTATGCGCCGAGAAGTTTCTCTACTCAAAAGACCAAGATTCCTTGCGAATAGAACATGCGCAGAACACAAATCACTATGGGGATATGCTGATATGCGTTTACATGACCAAAAATTCGGGTTAGAAAAGGGGTACCCCAGGTATAATATCCCGGTTTTTAAAATCCGGGATATGAGCATATTCGGGTTTTTGCCGGTGTTTGCATGGCCGTTTGCGACCGGGTTATTGCTATATCCGGTTTTGAACGGGTTTTTGGCTGCATGTAAACGTAGTCATTGTTGTAAACACTGTTTTTTGAAACAAGCAAATCTGAGCAAATATGCAAGCAAATTTCTGAAAAGGCAAGACTATATATATTTTAAAAAAAGCAAGAATATTGATTTTAAAAAATATATATTATCACGGACAGTTTTGCTTTCCCCTTTTGCTCATTATTTAAATTGTGTTCATTTCTAACAAAACTGTACAAATGTGCAGTGCACATTATGTAGCTTTAATAAATCCAAGTTAATTTAAATGCTATATTAAAATTAGGCTTATATCTTTTATTGCAACCCAATCTGCCCAGTACTTCATACAGCTTCAATTAAAATCAGTCTTGTACTGTGTGTGGTTCTCTGGGCAAGACCCATGTGAATAAAATAAATGTGTGAGGTGGGAAAAATCCATTCCACACTCCTGAAAAATGTACTGTCATGAGATACAAAGTTTTGAAAAAGTTTCTTTAAAAACTGTGGAACCCAGGAACTCTAGAATCTGCAATACCAGCTACAATGTTATCAGAAAGAAAGAAAACATCGCTACTTAGCAAAAAAAAAAAAAAAGATAAATGTAATATTTGCATTAGTTGTGTTATATCACATTAACATGAAATTAATGAATTGTTTTATAAACTTTATAGCTTTTACTTTATGCCTTTCTGGCCAAAAATAACTTTCAGCATTGACGTTCTAAAATCCAGCAACTGCTCTTTTCACATCCATCACCACCACCACCACCTTTTTCCTCCAAGCGATAATAGGATTATTATGAAAAATGTTCCAGCATTATAGATGGTATTAATCTTTTGCTTGCATAACTCCATAAACCAGTGCTCTGAATAGCCGTCAGACGTACATTTTCCAGAAAGTTACTCTTTTGAACTCTTGGAATTAACAGCTACTAAAACATAAGCCCATTCTTCATTGAGTAACACTAATGATGTGCTTTTAATGAACAACACAATTTAATAAAAAAAAAGTTGAGGAGAAACAACTCAGAGGATCTTGAACTCTTTGAAAAATGCAGTTTTGACCACACTTCTCTTCACAATAGAACTCTATGCCAAAGAAAAAAACATTTTCAGCAGAACAGTCTGAAAAAAAAATGGAGAAAACAAATCATTACCCACCAGCACCAAATCCTCATCCCAGCTGTGCGTTGAGTTTGAGAGAATTGTTTCTGCTTCAGGGTTTGACTGACTTGCAGTCATTAACGGACCAATGCACCACAATGTCAGTACATCTGTGATCTAAAAACAAAAGTTATCCAATCTGATAATGCAAAGGAATTAACGGTGGTTTAAACAAGAAATTTACAAACTTTTCAATTTAAGGTGAACTAGTGTTTGAAATTATTCAAACGTACTGTAGCAGTGGGTTTTTTTTCTGTCAGAGAAACACAATCATGTTAGTTAGAGCCTGATTTCAGTATCTTCAGCCTCAAGTCATTATTATACAAAGAGAATGAAAAGTTGATTTAAATCTCTAATAAACATCTCGAGGGGTTTAGATGCAGACAGTTCTTGTGTGAGGGCTCTGAAGCAGCAGTGAGCTGTAGATGGGTTAGGAATAGGGTGGTTTAACTATACCACAGAGGAGACATCTTTGCCTTTTAGAGGATTCAAATGCAGTCTATGTGATAATTATCTTGCCTGCTTGTGTTCTTGTGGTCTTTGTAGCACCATACAGTTTTACAGAATAAGATTTGTTTGAATTATCATTCATACAGTGGCATGGAAAGGTTTTTGATATTTGGTATTCTGTTTTGATTTATATTTGGAGAAAAAAATGATTGTTCATTTTCAAAATGAAATGTAATGTTGCACAACTGAAATCATTTCAATTAAAATTGTTAACATAGACTCCCTATAATTATCCCTGTGAAAATGTTAATTAATATTTAAAACTAAAACTAATAACTGGAAGACACAGACATCCCCAAAGATTCACTCTGTCAACACTGCAGTTTTTGCACAATCTTTCTTATTGTTGAATTATAAACAAAGACCTTAGCTGGTGCTTGAAATGCCTGTTGTTCTGCTAAAGGTTTTCTGGAATGTTTTGACATTTTCCAAACGAGGTGCACAAGTAGATATGTATATAAAGGCTAGATGTGTTACGGCGGAGTTTCCATCGTCATCACCGGCGGCCATCTTGTCACAGACAAGCGGATGTAAGATGAGTGGTCAGCACGAACACAAATACTCTTATCTCGTTGAAATCTTGACGGATTTACAAACGGTTTGGTTTCTTACAAACGTTATTAACGTGGCTATAAGTATCTGGATGATTATTTATTTATACACTTTTTATTCATAAGTATGCAGTGTCATAACTACATCTCTGACGTTTATAACAAAACAAACCTTTTGAAAATCGGTAGAAAATTGAGCAAGTTATGGTCATTTAAATAGTACATGTACCATTAACACAATGTTACGAGTGAGCGAGCTGCCTGTGACAAGATGGCCGCCAGGTGCAGACGTCGACCTCCATTGGCCAGCAGCGTGGACGACATATTCCATTTAGAAATAAAGGAAAACCGGAACTGACACATTTTCATTACTTAATTTAGACTTAAAATTTAGATTGATTTAGATTGTTTAGTGGTAAATATTACTGGAAAGAAGTTCATAGTTCAGGGAAGGAGGAGATGGGAACCGTTGAACGTTCAACATAAATTTAATGACAAAATAAAGAAATCACAAAACGAAAGTAAGGTGGCAGCCCCTCATGGATAACTGCTGCATAGACAAAAACAAAGCAGCAACATAAATGTCCCAAGCCTGGTCATATCTCATCCTTCACTTCCCTTTATCCTTCCAGAGTTCCTCTCAAGACTGTGTGACTCAGGTGTCGCTCACGCTCTTCTTGCCTAGCTTCGCTCCCATGGCTCCCTGCCTCACCCTGCTCGTCACATTTACCCCATTGCCCTTTGAAGACTGCCTTCATGGCCTTCATGGTGGTCACAGTACCTGGGGGTAAGTATAGACGAGGCGAGAGAAAAGGAGACAGAAGGCTGCAGAGAGACAGAGGCAAGATAGGAAAAAAAAAAGAAAACAGTTCTTGGTCCGGTTCCCAAAACGCACAGTCATCCGGTCCTCCACCAGCTGGCTGACGCCTCCGAATCGGCCCTTAACTCTACCGTCTCCTGACTGGAGATTAGGGCTGTCGCGGTTATGGAATTTCCCTTGCGGTAATGTTGAGTGGCTCATAGCGCGATATGCGGTATTACCGCCATTTATTTCTTTCTTTCATTTATATGTATTTGTTGCTATATAAATAAAGTTTACGATGTGGACAAAAACGAGGACATTTTCAGTAACCGAAACTAAACAGCGTCTACAGTATATGCGTATCGAAAGACTTTCACTCAGCGTGCATATTGTTGACAACGGACTTTGAGCGCGTCATTGAACCGTTCATTCAACGAAGACGTTTAAAAAAGCTGATTCATTAAAAGAGATGTAAAGAAACAAGATTTTAATTATTTTTAACTTTGAGGTTCAACTTTTCAAGGCTCAGCTGAGCAGCAATGCGTCGCATGGGCAACGCTGAAGCTGATGCTTCACTTATTAAAAACGCATATAGCATTTTTTTCAATGCGTGACTCACTGATTTTATTTCCCAGTGGCTTCCTTGTGCTGTGGGATGCTGACCAGCGCTGCTGCTGACGCGCATTTATGGGAAAATACCCGTTAAAATGATGATGCGACAAATATTTCGCTTCCCTTTGACACGACAAGCTTTTCACGACTTCAAAGACGGGAGCAGGTAATTGCACGCGCTCTGCCGATCTCTCCCATTCACTGTCTGTGTGAAGCCTGTAGGCTACACATCACCATGATAAACAGTCTTGTTATCATTATGAACTTGTTTAACATTCAATACACATTCATCAAGTTCAAAACAAGAAGGGTATAGCCGTATAAAAACGTGAATATCGCGGTTGCTGCTGTTACGTGCAATCCTCTGCGGTTGACTTGTCAGAAGCGCGGCACTACAATATTGCGGTTACCGCGACAGCCCTACTAGAGATGACGGCTCCTTCCATGTCGGCATCCGGCAGTGAGTACAGCTCCATTCTGCCTACTCTTCCCCATATGGTGGACAGGAGAAGACCCCATCAAAATATGGTGACTCCTCTAGCTCGTTCCAATGGCAGCCGTCCCTCCCATGCTCAAGCAGAAGGCAATGTTTTCATCCGTCCCTCTCGATTTCCCACAGCGACAAGGGCTCTTTAACAGTGCATTCCTCCTTCCTCCCGTGTTTCGGCACCAATGTAACAAAGTTCAGGGAAGAAGGTGGCGGGATGGCCGAATGTTCAATGTAACTTTAATGACAAAATAACAAAAAAAACAACAAAACAAAAGTAAAGCGGCAGCCCTTCAAGGACAACTGCCGCCTAAACAACAACAGAAATGTCCCAGGCCTGGTCCTCTCTCGTCCTTTATTGTCATCTCTTTTCTTTTTATCCTTCCAGAGTTCCTCCGTGGGACTCAAGACTGGTGTGTCTCATTAACAACCGCTCCCTCGGCTCTCAGCCTCAACCTGCTCATCACATACACCCCACCATCCTTGGCTAAACAACAAGAACAACAACAACAAAACAACAACATAAATGTCCCAGGCCTTATCCTCTCTCGTCCTTAACTTGAAAAAGGAACTGGAAATGTTAGTTGGAATCAGAATTGGAAACCAGAACCATTCATTTCCTTATGATTCCCATAATGGTCACACCAGATCTCATCCAAATTATTTCATTATATTGAAAAAAGATACTTGAAACTAATTTTAGAAGATTTGAAAGAAATAAATCTCACAGAAATATATCTCAAAGGCATTTTAATTTATAGAAACAACCATTCAAGGTTAACAGCGTGTGTTCAAGGTTAACACTTTCTTGTTACAATCCCAGAGACAATGGCGTGGCTTTCTTCTTAGAATCAAAATGCAGGAGACGCTATCATACATCACAGTTTGACACCTTAAATAAATGTCATTTTGACACACGAATGTCTTCCCTTTAGGCAGTTACGCACAGTCTTTTTCTTGTCCCCACATAAAAACAAGGTATCCTTAGAAATGAACTTCTGGGAATATAGAAATACACACTGCTTATATCCAATTTGACTCCAGCTGTCCCTTTTTCAGCTTCAGTTCATTGAGGAATAAAAATAAGAAAAACTAAATTAAAAAAACGACTTCAGAGAATGTGCTGAGAAAGTCTTGCTTCCCTTAAGAGCCGCATTTGAAATAATCACCCATAGGTCCAAGCCTTTGAACAACGTAACCCATAAAACTCCAGCCATAGTTCCCACTTGTCTAGGCCTCGGTGGAAGTCTCTGTCTTCTGATACTGCTCCAGGTCTTTTTTCTTCTTCATGGCAAGCTGCAGTTGCTTTTTGATAAGCTGGATTTGTGTTTCCAGTTCTGTCAATTCCTGTACTATTGGGTTCTGGGCAAGGCCCAGCAAGTCGGTTCTTCCGTTAGATGTGGCCTGTAATGGAAGCTGTCTCTTCTCCGGTGGGGACAGCAGTTCTTTACAGTGTGAACATTCCAGGTCATTTTGTTGTCCATCTTGATTGGAAAGTTTTTGCCTGTTGCAGTTGGAAGTTCCCAAAGAGTTCCATGGCATTTGTTGGTTGTTTCCAACATTGCAGCTAAGTAGGGACAAGAATGATATCGCAAAATCAGTATATAAATACACATTTTAGGAAGCATGTCATGCAAAGTAATAGTTGTTACAATAAGGAAAAACTTATCATCATTTACTCAAACCTTATGTCATTCCAAATCCATAGGACTTTCTTCCGTTTTTTTGAAAGATGGGTTGCTATTTTAAGATGGTGTGCTATATTAAGTGTTCTGGAGGCATGTTATATCTTTGGGTGAGAAACTGTTGCTGGAAATCTTCAATTCTAACCTGGCTTTCCTTGTCGTGTTCACGAGAGATGCAGAAATCATGAATGAATAGTTCTAGTGCAGTGGTTCTCAATTCCAGTCCTCGGGACCTACTGCTCTGCACATTTTGTATGTCTCTCTTAAGGCGGGCATACACTGTGCGATGTCTGTGCGATTTCAGCAAGGTACCGACTCACACTCAATGAGTAAATCGCATGCGATGCAAAGCCAAAGTTCAGGATTTATGTGCTCACACTGTACGGTCCGATCGTCGAGCTGCGACTTCACTGCTCACACTATACATGTAATATCTGCGATAACCCCCATGTATCCAGGGATATTGACAAAACAAGCATCTGCTATTAATATCAAGATGATTTAGCATTTTCAATTTATGCATTTAATTATTATTTATTAGTATTATTGAATTGTCATTATTAGGGAGGCCTATAGGCTAATTTTATTATTAATTTGATCCGCTATTATAATTAATTTGCCACGCAATATTTTCACAGCACATAACCAACGTGCTGTGAGGATAATAAAATATTACATAATCTTACTCCTCATTAAAAATTGTCTAAAACATTTAGGTCGATTACAATGAATTATAGGCATTTAAAATAACTATTAACATTCTATAATATGTCCGAACATTGGCATAATTAATCATCAATGAAAATTAAAAACAGGTTTATTTCAAAAACATTGTTTGACAAATTAAGCTGTTACATCGCAGCTTGGAAGACGGTGGGTAATATTTTGCAACACGAACTGGAGGTAAGCAACAGTAATTTGTAGCTAGTTTGAACTACAGAACTTAAAGATCTCCCTCTTTTCGTTTTTATTTTAATTTTATTTTTGCTGATGAAATGGTTAAACTTCTGTTTTCGCGCAGGTGCAGTGAGGGAAAAAAACACTGAGTTTAGGGCAATCGGTTCGTAGATTTGCTTCAACTGTGCGATATAGTCACGAGGAGCGACCAAAATTTCTGACATGCCAGAAATTCATCCGACCATCCGATTGTCGATCGTGAGAGGCTAATCGCCTCTCGTTTCTCCCTGTACACTGCACGAACACTGCACGACAAACGATGCACGACAAAGCTAAAAATCGGTCTGACACGAAAAAGAGTCGCACGAGTCAGAATTCGGCTCAAAATCGGACGAAAATCGCACAGTGTATGCCCGCCTTTATCTGACACACTCAGTTCAGTTCATTGAGTCTATCCTAACGAGCTGAGGATCTGAATCAGGTGTGTTAAATAAGGTAGCCATACAAAATGTGCAAAGCAGGACTGGAGGACTGGAGTTGAGAACCAATGTTCTAGTGGGTCAAATCTTTTAATGAACTGCCTGATCTTTTTCACAAAATTGGTCTAATAAAAATCATTACAACAAGTTTTCAAAAGACTAATATTGTAGTAAACAAGTCATGTGACTAATTGTATGATACTTAATGGTGTTTTATATCCTTTTTAGAAGTGCGAAAGCTCCAATTTATTGTAATTACAAGAAAAAGACAAACAAGAACATTCTTCAAAATTTCTCTTTGTGTCCTGGAAGAAAGAATATCATATCTATTGCAGACTTAAGTAAAACTATTTAAAATCTTGTTTGTTAACAGAAATAAAGCTGATGAAGCTGAATAGAAAATGTATACTTTTTGAATTGAAATTGAAAGAAGCACAATTATCCAAAAATGACACTTCTTCAGGACTTGAATTCAATGTTGCTTGAATGCTAGACAGTATTTAAAAGCAGTTTACCTTTTCTCCGGTTTTGCAACAGTCTGTAATTTGTCTTCTTTGAAAGTCGGGTTAATTGCTCGATGTAATCTCTGAAAAACAATTAAATTAAGTATTATTCAGGAAAGAAGTGCTGAGAATTTCAAAGTGAATACATTTGGAAAATTATTCCCTTAATGCTACAACGTGTCACCAAGATTAAATGTAATTATGTTTAATAAAAGCAGCCTAGACCGCTACAAAAGCACGTACCTGACTGGTGTGGAGCCAGTACTTAAACTGTGACGACTCCGGTATTCTGGGTATCAGCCAGCGATGGACGATGTGTTCACCTAGTGTGGTGAGGAGAGACAGGGCTACTCCGATGCATAGCATGACAAATAACCCTGAGAAGTGCTTTATCCCCATCTGTAAAGTCTGGGGATGACAACGGAAAGTCAAGGTTAGAAAAGAGGAATAGGTCACCCATGAATGAACTTAGCATTCAGTCACCCTCACATAGAAACCCTTATTATTTAGCAAAACACAAAAGGAGATCTTCTGCACAACTTAGCCAGACATTTTTTTATTGGCAAACAAAGACAAACACCAAATTAAAAGTAGTTTGAATGACTTGTGTGCTATATTGCAAGTCTTCTCTGAAAATGTTCTTCTCCAGCCAATCTCTGAAATCCCTTAAATTAAATTGAGCGAACAATACATTTTTGATTGAAGAAAGAAAATAAAGCATGATTGGAATGTAAATCATGTAAATCATGACGAAAGTGAGATCTGACATTTTTCAATAGGACAATGTTGTTGGATGTTAAATGTAAATTTTAAAAATAGCTGTATTTAATCCTACTTGTGCCACAAGTTATTTTTCTTTTGAAATAATTTAATTCCTTTATTCACCAAGGACGCATTAAATTGACAAGTGGCAGTAAAGGCTTTTATAATCTTATTATATATATATATATATATATATATATATATATATATATATATACAGTATATACTGTATATGAAGAGTTCAGATGCAAAAGCCTCTAAATGCCATTTGAAATTTTCTTCTAAAATGACCATTTTTATCAAGCTTGTACATTTAAGTTCAGTAATTTCACTTAAATGACAATTAATAGGTAATCTTCATTGCCATTTAAGTGAAATTACTGAACTTAAATATACAAGCTTGATAAAAATGATCATTCTAGAAGAAAATTTCAAATGGCACTTAGAGGCTTTTGCATCTGAACTCTTCATATATATATATATATATATATATATACAGTATATATATATAAATTAAAAATAATAAGGATCTTTTTAACTTTTTTATATCAAACAATCCAAAAAAAAGAATGAACCTTTGAAAGATATGAGTCAATGAATATTTTAAAAGAGAAAACGGGTATTTTAAATTGTAATAATATTTCATAATATTACTGTTTTACTGTATCAGATCAAATAAATGCACATTTAAAACATATGAAGCAAGGAATATATTCAAATAGGAAAGTGGTATTTTAAATTGTAATAATATTTTACAAAATTACTGTTTTACTGTATATGTGATTAAATAAATGCAGCCTTGATGAAAATTAGACACACACACACACACACACTCATACACAAATGTCAAAATGATTTAGTTGATTTAGTTGTTTTTTGTTGTTGATGTAGTCCTAATAAGTTGGTAACGCTTCCTTTTACAGTACAGTACTTACAGTGTACTTACCTAGAAAGTACTGGCTAATATAAGGTAAGTACATGGAACAGGGGTAGGTTTAGGGGTAGTTACAGGGTTAGTACTAGTTATTACCCAGTAATTGTAGTTACTAAAATAAGTACATAGTATTTACAGTACATGGGTAACTGGACTGTAAAAGGAAGCGTTACCAATAAGTCCATAAGTCCCAGTCCTGAATTGTGCATATTAATAGCCTAATAATATCAATCTTATATTTTAACAGCTTTATCGAGTCTCATTTCTGATTTTCAGCTTGTATCATGACTTACCTCTGTGACTGCAAAGCTTCTTTTACCACAGGGTACCACCTTGTACCACTTATCATGTAGCGTGTCCATAAATCCATCAGATTTGTACTGACTAACCAACTCAGAGATATTTGAAGTCAGAGGAGAGTTCTGTTTGAGGCCAATGCCATAGCCTGTGAACACAAAGATTATTTGAGCTATTAGAGCAACATGTGCACAGTATTCATTCACTCTGTAACCTATAAACAATTAACAAGTGATTAAGAAACGTTCATTTACTTGCCTTCAATTGCAAATGGCTTTCCCACAGTCAGCATTTTGCAGTCTGCATCAATAGACACTTCATAGTCTAAAAGTGCTTTGTCCATTATAAAAGCATCCAGCTTTTGGGGATCATCCCTGAAATAGTATCAAACAGTTTGCTAATATACAGTGACACACAGACAGTATTTACTGCATTCACAGGTTTTTATTTCTTTTTTGGTCAAAATGTGAACTTTTGACCGTTGAATCAGTCAATTAGTCCTGAAGTCCTCACAATGAATTAAAACTACTAGAACCAACTACCTATTCATACTCAAAGAAGGGAACATAGAAAGTCCATAACCTGACTTTAGCAGTTGCATCCTTGTTTATCCTATTTGATTCAAAATGTTATCTTGTAAAAACACATGTTGGATTGATTGAAAAGGACAGATCTTGCTAAACTTCTTAAGGAAATGTTGCAAATTTCATCTACTTCTCCTGAAATCTAATCATTCTGTCCAGCTTGAAGGAATTATATACTGTGGCAATATTTTGGAGTATGTGGTCTGATTTGAGGGCCGCATCAAATCGTATCCTGGAGGTTGTGGAAACTCAAAAGAGAAGTTTCAAAACGAGAAGACTTGCAACAGAGGATATGAAAGGAGGAAATTGAGTTAAGTGTGGCCTGTCGAACACTTATGTGACGTATGAAAACTCTTGCCATTGACTTATTTGCTTTGGTCATTCCTACAAATACAGTTTTTCTCAGTCGCTTTGGTACATTTCTCGAATCATCCTCAAGTCCTTGTGCCATTGTATGGATAAGACAGAAAAATAGCTTAGTCATGTTGTCAATATAACAGTGTACTCCTGGTTTTCGGATGTAAACTATTGCTAGACTAACTAGGTTTAGAAGACAATTTTTGTAAAATGTAGGTTACACCTTAGTGTATGTGGGAGTTTGGGTGCAAGAGACTGGACAAGATTCACATTTATGCTTTTACTGTTTGTACTAGACCACCTCATAAGGAAAAGACAACACTGCATGTAAACAGGACAGATTTAGAAAAAAAAAACAGTCTAATGGAAATGTATATAAATATAAAAAAAAACATCATGACAACTTGTTCAACCATTTTGCATGTAAAGACATATGATATGAACTAAATGTTGTGGGGGGTGAGACTATTCAACAGAGACCCATTATAATACATTTTGATCAACATTACATAAGCAATCGATAATGTAGGTAACAGCAGAGTCTTGCACATAATCATTTGCATGGATGTACCAAAATATTTGCAACTTGATCAAATAAATGAGAAACTGATTTTTTGAAGTGACACAATGATGTGTAGATTGAACAGATAGTTTTGAGAATATCAGTTCTGATCTGATCTGAGAAATGTACCAAAGCAACTGAGAAAAACTGTAAATAAGAATTAAAAAGCCAAATTTTACTACTTTTTGGCTGTAACTTAAAAAAAACAACAACAACAAAATAGCTTGAAATGTATAGAGAAAGTATCGACAACAAAAAAACATGTTTTCTTTGAATATATAGTTATAATGGCTGAACAGATAGACAGACAGACAGACAGACAGACAGACAGACAGACAGATAGATAGATAGATAGATAGATAGATAGATAGATAGATAGATAGATAGATAGATAGATAGATAGATAGATAGATGGATGGATGGATGGATGGATGGACGGACAGACAGACGGATTAGCAGCAGGATGGATGGATGTAAGGACGAACGGACGGACGAACTGACAGACAGACAGACAGATGATAGATAGATAAATAGATAGATAGACAGACAGAAAGACAGATGGACAGACAGATAGATGGACAGACAGACGGACTGACGGACGGACGGACGGACAGACAGATGATAGATAGATAGATAGATAGATAGATAGATAGATAGATAGATAGATAGATAGATAGATAGATAGATAGATAGATAGATAGATAGATAGATAGATAGATAGGTAGATAGATAGATAAATAGATAGACGGACGGACGGACGGACGGACGGACGGACGGACAGACAGACGAATTAGCAGAAGGATGGATGGATGTAAGGACGGACGGACGAACGGACAGACAGACAGACAGACAGATGATAGATAGATAAATAGATAGATAGACAGACAGAAAGACAGATGGACAGACAGATAGACGGACGGACGATACATAGATAGATAGATAGATAGATAGATAGATAGATAGATAGATAGATAGATAGATAGATAGACAGACAGACATACAGACAGACAGATAGACAGACAGAAAGACAGATAGATGTGCTTATAATGTGCTAAAATTCCTGCAAATAATTTTTCATTATAGCATATACTCTATAGCTGTGTGTAAAGTGTGTTCTCACAAATGTGGCTGCCAATTTTTTTCCCCCTAGGTAAATCAATCAACCTAACCCTAACCCATCATGCAATTTGGACTTTATCACTCACAACTGCCAGTTCATATCAGAATCATTGTTGTGGGATAAAAAGTCACAATTAATACCTAGGATATCAAAATCAACTGTGGGTGGTAGATCCTTTTTCTTAATAAGCACCCAAATATGCGAGAACGTGCTTTATACACAGGTCATTAGGCACGAAAGAGAGGCAAGACGCACTTGCAGTCGAGTGCATTCATTCATACTATTTGTGAAATTAGAGTCTGACAGCAATATTTTTTAATTATTGATTCAATCTGTTCATCTGGAAGAATTAGTTTACACATTCAGTAGCACATTTTAAGCTTGGAACTTGTTGGAATGAGTAAAAGTATGAGCAATACCCACAATCCTGTGCTAAAATTCAGGCCATAAACAGACAATATATATTTATATTATTAGACTTACAACTATATATTCAGGATTTACATTTGTATATTATAACTATTATATAACTATTTTATAACTGTTCATATTTATACTCATATATTCAGACTTCTAACTATAAATTCAGATTTGTAACTATTTATTCAGACTATTACATTTGGATTTAAATGTAGGCTTATAAACCTATATTCAGATTTGTACCTATATATTCAGATTTTCATTTATATATACACTATCCACAAGTTTCCGAGGGGCGCTCCTGTAAAAAATAAAGTGGGTGAAACTTCCGGTGACGCGGCGGAAGTAGCATTCCAATGGTATTTTGTGTGTTAGTTAGCGAAGAGGCTAGCTGTGTTTCGGAGAATTATTTTACTATTTAAAGACGCAAATCTTTATGAGAGATGTCGTTACGGAGCTCAGGGACAACATGTGCTGTTCGCGGTTGTATGTATAACCGGACTAAACTAATTTAGTGGCTTAAACGGGATTGTTTTGAACATAAGCTAAAAACGAAATCAGAGTGATCCTGCCAACGACTGTAGTTTCCATCACCTCCCAAAAGACGACGAATCTTCCTGTGTACATTTGTTTAAATTCTTAATGTTCTATAAACTTTTATCAGCATGTGTTTGGCTGTTCTCTACTGATGTTACACCTAAACTCCGGATCAAAGCCTGTGTTGACAGAATACCAAATGTGCCAGTTAATGTATTCAAGCAGCACATTCATTTATAATTTTGAATAAACTCCAAAGCACAATGCCTAAGTGTGTATTTTTTTATTTTAATTGTTTGTCAGCTCGCACAACAGTCTGTCACCATGCCTTGATGAGTATTGATTATTAATAATGTTATTATAATACTCCCAATCAACTACTGCAGAGGGTAAAGGTACTGTTATTTCACCCTTTTGAATTTCGTTGAGGTTGTGTTCCCACATCGTTAGCTAGTTTGGATTGCTATAACTTGAATGACTGTCAACTGTTGAATGAACGAGTGTCAAGCATGTCAAATCGCGCTTTGTTTACTTCCAACCGGAAGGCCTCATGGGGCGTAGGAAACTTGTGGATTACAAATCATTATTTCCTGTTTGGTCATATTTATTATGTCAGATCATGCAATGAGAAGGAATTTGTGTTTTGCTTTGAAATGAGTTATGTCAATTAAATAATTTAACAAGTAGACACACAGTATGTGTTTTGCATGCCAAGTAGAATGTATGCTTTGCAGTCAGCCAGGAATACGAGTAGGAATATCCGTTTTCTTACATTTCAAACATCAGTCAAACAAGTCTATTCATTCCTAGTCTTGACCAATAAAACCACATAGATTTGTACAACATATGAAGAAGGGGAAAGCCATCTAAAGAAGGACATGGTAGAGGGCATCCAGTGAATTAGTTCTGCTTCAGTGGTCGATGCCACTTTGCAATAACGATTACAACTTACTTAAGATGATCTATTCCATCAGGGGTTGTAGGGACATTGTATCGTCTCATGTATTCATGCATTTCTGGAAAGCTTTTTTTCACGTAGTCCTCTGCGCTGCTCTCCCGAACAGTTCCAAAGCGGAAACCTTGAGATGGATGGTGGAGCTAGAAAGCAAGAGGACAATTTTCAGCAACCAGTGAGTATATTTTTAACCTCTTAACCATTTGATATGTACGCAAGTTACTCTTACCTTGGGATCATGTATACCTGAGAGTTGCTCGTAGGTTTTCTCACCAACCATTACAGCGGCGAGATTAGCTGTGTACGTTGACAGGCAGAACAAACAGAAAATGGCCCAGAGGTTCATGAGGAATCTGCCGGTCCAACACTTTGGCGGCTTAATGGCGGCAGTCCGGCCGAATAAGATTGAGTAGCAAACATTTAGCGCAGATGAGAAAGAAAAGACACGCTCCCTGTTCCTCCCCCTTGGGGTCATCCCGAAAGGGCTTTTCCACTCGTACAAGGTCAGGAACACGGCCGTCAGATGTAAAGACACAAATATTCCCAGCCACATACTCCAGTGCAGAGGCCACATGAAGGCGCCGATGGGTGCGGCAGTATCCATAGTCCTGACTAGGATTCCCAGGCTGGTGGAGAAGAACGGGCTGGTGAAGTCAATGACCTGACTGCGTGCCGAGTTGATGCTGAAGGAAGTGACAGCTAGATGCGCAGCCCCGCTCATGAGGTCCCCGACCAGCCCTGACCAGCGACCGCTCTTGTAAGCTCCGTATTTCCCATCTCCCACAATGTAGAGGTCAAACTCAAACCCCATGTCCTCTGCCAGCTTCTCTAAAAGATCAATGCAATAGCCATAGCAACATTTTTTAAACTCCATGGGCACGGTGTCATTGGCACTTTGCAAACCCTGAAAAAGTCTTTCCAGCAAGGCTGTGTTGTTTGTTTGGGGGTCAAGGCACAGCTGGCCAGCCGGGCACAAACCTTCTTCATCAACATCTCGGGTGAAGACAAACGGGTGTTCTACCAGGGTGACGACTCGCACGTGCAGACGTGAGGAATGTCGCCAGTCCCCCCCTGGCTGAGACTGTCTCTTATTAGGCCAAACACCATAATCCATAACCACTTTGCCTTGCTTCCAGTTGCCGAGACGAGTCCACATGGGCTTGCCTATTGGGTCATGCTGTAGATTCCATATGAAGTGATGGCTTTCAGAGATGATGGTAGATTCCCCTTGAACACTGATGTAGCCGCTCAGGCCATCAAACAACGTGTTGGCCATGTATCTGAGAATCAAGAGAAAATAGCATTTTATCCAATCCAATCTAATTCTAAAGCAAATACAACGTCAAACCAAAATAAGTGTGTGCTTGCAACAAACAGAATATTAGCCGCGTTTCCACTGCTGGGACAGGGCCGAGCCGTGCTAGTGCGTGCCAGGGCCAGTCGCGTTTCCACTGTCACTTCCGGGGCTTGATCGGGGCTTACTCAGGGCCAACGCCCAGGATTTCTGGCCTGTCGAATACCTTGGGCCAAAGCAGGCCAGCTCGGGCTAGAGGCGTGCTCAAGGTACTGTAAAAGGCGGAGTTTATCGGTGTTATAGAATTGGATCTGAAGCAAGATGCTCATTTCACTTTTTTATATCACGCAAAAAAATCGCTGCTTGAAATGGAGAATCGCCTGTACTGGTCTGTCGAAGATAAAGCTCTTTTGAGCATTTGGGCAGAAGAAAGGGTACAACATCAGTTTGACGACTTGTGAAGAAACGAGGATGTTACAAAATACATCGATGCTGAACTTTCTAAGCTAAGCATTTAGCAAGCAACGCTTCAAGTTCAGGACAAAAATAAAAAAGTTGCAGGCGCAGTATTGTACAAGGCGATTAAAACGCACAATGGACAAAGTGGAGTTCAGAGAAGGATTTTTCCATGGTTTGACTTGCCTCTGTTAGTGGCGACTCGCGAGACAATTGGGACACTATTGCAGCCACGGCCGATGAGTTAATATACAGTACATGCTATCTTCCTAACTTAAAAAAATACACTAATTCATAATACCTGCTGAAATGGGTTGGGCTGTATGACGTTTGATCCAGAAAGGCATGTTAGGGGCGGGGTTTAGGGCAGCACTATGGGGCTACTGGCTCGGCAGTGGAAACGCAAGCCCGGTACTTGAGGCCCGAGGCCACTGGCTTGGCTCGGCTCGCTGTTAGCTCTGGCCCAGCCCTAGCCTGGCAGTGGAAATGCGGCTATTGTCATGCGTTGTTGTGGACGCGTATGTAGTTGTCTTTATTTTGCATGATACATCCAAGAAAGATACTTGGTGTAATTATCCTTTAAACAGAACCTATCCCAATTATCACAGCACCACAACAACACTGAAAATGTAACACCACAAAACACAAGGCCTAAGCCAACTTGCACAGGTATAGCTTAAAATATGGCATTGCCATTGTTTTGTCTCAAGATGCACACCAGCAATGTATTTTTCTAAGGCATGTTTATAAAAGCTACAAATATCCTAAATGAAATAAGGCCTAGTCTTGACTCAGGGTGCTTTCACACTGGCAGTTTAGTTCGGAACGGGGCACAGATCCCAGCTATGTACCTTTACCTTGGATACGAGCAAGAGTAAGCCTGCAGTGTATTAGCGCATAGCGCATGGAATCAGGGCAACACATTAATGGAAATCCACTGTCTCCTCAGAGTCCGTTTGCAAGCAGCAGAAAACCACCTTATGTGTCACACACACACACACACACACACACACACACAGTAAACCCGTGTGGTTCACTGAGCTGTGCATAATAGCACAAAATTAATAAAAAAACATGATATATTGACTATTTTCTATCATGCGGCGTGCATGTTTACGATGACATAAGATGCACGCAAATGCACCGGGGTTCGATAGAATGTAGTTGAGTGTGGAATTCCAATGACCAGTGCACTCTATGGCCCTGTCTGTGAACCTGGCCTTAGAGTAAATAGATTCTTCCTAATAATGAAGCCTGATATTTTATAATTAAACTAAATCCTGATTGATATAGTTCAAGTCCCACCCTACAATACAGTATATATAGTTTGAGCAGTAAATATAAAATGGCATTACTGACTTTTATTCACTTCACTTCACTTGCTGTTTTTGTCACATTTTTGTTTTAATAAGAATGAGATCCTCATTTTGGGCCATATAAATACTGCTCTAATTACAAAATATAAAACTGACTATATCATCTGAAATGCTTGTAAGATACTGCCCATTAAATGGCTCCTATGTAGTTAGCTGCATTTTCTTAACATATAGCATCATAGCAAGGCTAACTACATTTCATCAAAGTAATATTTTTTGACAATTAGCATTTATCTGTAGATTGACCATCTCAAATGATTAGCAACTTCACATTGAACCCATTGCCTGAGTGTAAGCTGCACTATTTAGCCTTCTTGACTCACCTTCTAATTTAGGGAAAGGGTATTGTCGTGCCGTGTATTTTTCTGTCTTCAATTTATTTTATTTATTTTTCTTTCTGCAATGGTGTAGCTAATGGTAACCCTGTTAAATCAGTAATGATAGGAGTGCTGAGCATGTAAAATTTAAGCCCTGAGGCAGTTTGGTTAGAAGTTGGCGAAGTTGTTTCCTGACATTGCAGTGTTGGAAAAAACACTCTTGATATGCTGTCTTAAAAAGCTCCCCCCGGCTGTGGTTGAAGAGGATAATCCTTAAAGAATATGCAGACGTGCTGTATAGTCACTAGTCACAGATTATCAGAATTCTGACGTGGTTTATTTGGTCTGTCAAAAATTGTCAAATTTTACATCATGTAAAAACGAACCTTTCTGAAAGGTTGGTGGGAACTGAGAGAGTATCTCTGTTCCTGTTTTTCTGCTACCTTTTAAAGACAGCATTCCAAATGAAATGGAATGGAAGATAGTTTTTGGAACTTTAGAACATTGACTTCCATAGGTTTTATATATATATATATATATATATATATATATATATATATATATATATATACTATGGAAGTCAATGGTGCAAACGTTTGGTTCCAATCGGCAATCGCTCTTCAAAATATCTTCCTTTGAGTTCAGCAGAAGAAATAAACTTATACAGGTTTGCATCAAATTGAGGGTGAGTAATTGATGACATTTTTGGGTGGAGTATCCCTTTAAGTGCAGGAAACTTTGCTTCCAATGCAGTTTGGTATTAGCATGTTGCTAAGCTAATGATGTGACTCTTATAAGCAGACAAATAGTTAATATTTACTTTAACTAATCTATTTTAGTAATTTGAAACTGACATGACTCATTATGAGATTATCTTCTCTACTCATTGTAAATGTGAAGAATTTGGCTGTAAAAATGTACACTTTTTTTCACAATTTTTGGTTCCCCAATAAACAGTTCTTGGTTCTCCAAAGAAAATGTAGAATTTAACAATCCAAAGAGTCCTTTTCCATTTTAGGGAACATTAAGCACAATGGAAAGCTACCATGTTAAAAATACTTTTGTTGTTAAGAGTGCAGCTCTTGCATTCAGAGCATGCCAGTCATATTACAATTACAAAATAAGACAGTGTGCCAAATAAATACCTGGACAGAAAGGTTCCTGATGTAAGATTTTTAGTCTCAAGTCTTGCCATACAGTTTGTGATGCCAGGAATCAGTGCCAACTCTGGAGACACAACGGCAGCTGATCCCACCGCCCGTGCCACCAGCTCCAAAGCATCCTGGACATAATGATCCAGTGAGGGCTCGGCCATACGACCATGCGCAAGAAGACCCAAGGGTAGCCCCTCTGTCCGTAATTCCTCCACGTTTTGAGAGTCTCCTATAACCCAGCGGTAATCAGGAAGGCTCAGTCCAAACTTTGCAATGGTGGTAAAGATTCTCCGTATATCCCTGATGTCACATCCAAAGGTCACTATAGTAGATGTTGAGTCCTTGATGGACTCCAGTTGACCTTGAAGGGACGTTTGAAAGTCACTTTTGGAGCTGCTGTTGGTGGATATTTTGAGAACTGTGCCCAGATGAAATTTGGAGCTGTTATGGAGCAAGAAGACAAAGTCTGAAATGTTCATCTGTTGACACATCACCAGACTGACATCATACCACGTGTTCATGGACAGCAGGGAGAAGATGAGATCTACTTGAGGGGTTGGAGGATTTTGCATGGCCATCTGGAAATGAAGTGGGTTCTATTAGGGAAGAATAAAAGGAGGATATCATTACAGAGAAATTTGGTTAAGGATGGGTCACATTGGTCAACAATCCATCATCAATTGGTCAATAAGTGACGTTGACTAATTCATCTAGACCTTATTTGTTTTTTATATTTAGCAGCAGTGCTAAAACTAGCATGATAATAATAGTGTGATGTGCTTTAGCTGTTATATTGAGTTTTGTGGCCGTTATTTTTAGTCATTTTTACATGTTAGCTTTGAGGTCATCTATATGGTACTGGGATCCTAAAAGTTGTTTAAACTAACCTTTAGCAGACATACAAATTTTGAAAATGTACAATCCCTTACTTTTGGGAAAATCAACCAGAAATATTGATGACTTGCGTATCTTGCACTACTCTTATTGAGAATGTCCCTGCACCTAACATCTGCTGCTGACAAGCAAGAATGAAATAATGAGGTGCATAACAATTTGGCATACTTATGCCGTTTTGTAGTATAAATAGTTTGGGTAGTGTGTACACACTCAACATTCCAACATTAAGAGGCACACTTATTTAACTGGAAAAACAAAGGGTGGATTGTCGGACACATTTGGACAACTGTTGCAGCCATCAGACTCAGATGCTGGATGACAAATGCCATCTAAATGTCATATACTAGACAGTAGTGTAGGAAATTATAGTCTGCTCCGACCAAACTTCCACTCCAATATAGATATATTGAAATGTTCCTTCACTTAAAAGAGCTTATTTATCATAGAATCAATTCCTTACCATCTTAAAAGTATCACAGAGTCATGTTTATCACCTATAGAGTGGGAATGACAGTGGGTATTCAAGAACCATCTTGATTAGGGAGCTTCAAAGAGATGTTATCACCTTAAACATTTGGCCGTATTGCTTTAAACATTTGGCCGTTCTTATTTGAAAGAAGATCAAAGACAGAACACAGCTGTTACGACAAGAGCAACTTCATTTACATTTAGAGGACAGTAACAAGATTTGAATGAGTACATAGTGTGTAGTTTGTGTACATTGAGTACATTGTGTATATAGTGTATAATTTGGGACACAATAATGGTTCATGGCTGTGCTGCAAATCAAAGTTCAATTCCCAAGTCCCACCCAGTTTCAATAGAAAATAGAAAAGGCAAGAAAGATGTCAAACAACTTTTAACATTCAGGGTTGTATTTAAACCCAGCCTGCCTAATTATACTTGTATAATTATATATATATATATATATATATATATATATATTAAAAAAGATTGATCTACTACTTGTTCAGGCAATTCTCCATAAAATAAAGGACCAAGCCAAGACTCTCCAAATATTTAGTGGTCTTTTAATGTTCTTAACCTTTTTAATCACAAATCACTGAGGCCATGAGATTAGCAAGAATTCCACAAAGACTGTAGATAAAACGCATAATATTTTTCTCCAGAAGAGTCAGTGTTAAAATAAAAGAATTAAAGAATAAAAAATAAAAAAGGAACTTGTGACTTTTTATCTCACAATTCTGACTTTTTTCTTGAAATTGTGAGTTAATATCTCACAACAAGCAGTCCATGAGTAACTGAAAAATGTCTCCCAGTTAGTTGGAGTTTAATGTGAGACCAAATATTCACTATATGGTTCAAATCTGCACTCTGACCAAGCCAAAACATGTTCTTGAGCCACTTCTTGGTTGCCTTTGCAATTCGAAAATTGAAAAATAACATCAGGTCATTCCTCTTTAGATAAAAACTTTTCATGAGTGGGAAGCAAGCCATTTTGCAATAATCTCCTGTACTCTAAAGCAATAAATGAGTTTTCAAAGTCAATTTGCTCACCCATACCAGCAGCTAAAAAGGCTCTCCACACAATGACACTCTTCCTCTATGCTTCACTGTGATAAAGATGCATTTATTACACTTCCCAGCCAAAACAAAGTTGCTGTTTGGATTTAAATAGGCAGATGCTTAAGAGTCAATGATTCAATCATTATTGCTGTGATTATTATGTTTCTAGCATGCGATATGTTTAGCAGTTTTTCCAATCCTAATTGATGTAACTTTTCATTTCTTAACAACCATGGAGGAAGACACATCATGGCCTTATTTCAGGATGACATTGTCAAGATTCTCCAGGCTCAAATTGTGAAAGAACAGTTGTGAGGGACCGCTTGATGGAAATAACATCACAACATTCATTTCTATTTAGAGGTGCATACATTTTTGGTCACAAATGGACCAAACAATAAGTATTGATCCAATGCTGGATTGATCCTGCAATATTGATCCAATCATCGATTCCTAAGCATTTGCCAATTTAAATCGAAAAAGCGACTTTTGTTGTTGTTGTTGGTCAGTGCAGTGTATTTCTCATCAAATTTTTGAAGACACCACTGAAACCTCACAATGCAACTCATGTTTTATTGTGATTCATCACTACACACACAAATACCAATATTCTAGCCAAAAATTTCATTCTGTTTTAGATGTTTTGATGCATTTTCTTAAATTTTGCTAATTTCCAGACTAATCCTTTTTGGGCTTTGCACATCTTTTCCTATCTGCCAAACAAAGGGAAGGCATGAGTTTTAGGCCCAACTGATATCCCAATGCATAATTTCTTGGACTCAGTTTCTGAAGCGGATTCTCCTCTGAGGAAAACAAATATTTCGATTTTCAGCATAATGTCCAGTTGTGCAATTCTCTGTCCCTGAAAACAATTACTTTAAGCGGTCTCTGGTTCCATTTGTGATGCATTGAAATAGAATTGTATCCAGAGGGGTAATAACTTCAAAAACAGTCAAATTGGGTCTGATTTTTGTTTAGCATATGCCATTTTTAACTGCATCGTGCTGCTTTAAAGACAAAGGCCAGGTTTCACAAAAAGGGCTTAGATTAAGCTTTTATAAGCGTCTCTTAGATTTTTTTTTTACTGCTTTGTTGATTTTAATTTAAGAAATGTTGCTTATTTAATTGGAACAAAATTAATTGAATTGTTGGGTTTTCCCGTTACTTGCATGACCAGTGGTCAAAAGTGTGCTTTGTTGACTCTTTCAGGTCATTCCCAGGTATGGAAATCAATCATACCTATCAAAATATGGATACAGATACAGATGATCAAATACAGATCAGGCATATGGTATGACCACCTTGCCAAAAACAGCCCTGACCCGTCGAAACATGGACTCCACTAGACCTCTGAAGATGTGCTTTGGTATCTGGCAACAAGATGTATCCTTTAAGTCCTGTACGTTGTGAGCTGGGGCTCCATGGATTGGACTTGTTTGTTCAGAACATCCCACAGATGCTCAATTGGATTGAGATCTGGGGAATTTGGAGGCCAATTCAACATCTCAAACTCGTTGTTGTGCTTCTCAACATTCCTGTACCATTCTTACACTTAAATCAGAAGCTAAAATAGCCCATCTGTTGGATCGGACCACACGGGCCAGCCTTCGCTACCCACATGCGTCAATGAGCCATGGCCGCCCATGACCCATGACGTTGGTTCACCTTTTCCTTGGACCACTTTTTCGAAATACTGACCACTGCAGACCGGGAACACCCCACAAGAGCTGCAGTTTTGAAGATCCTCTGTCCCAGTCGTCCAGCCAGCAAAAATTTTGGCCCTTGTCAAACTCGCTCAAATCCTTACGCTTATCCATTTTTCCTGCTTCCAACTTTGAGGACAAAATGTTCACTTGATGCCTAATATATCCCAACCACCAACATGTGCCGTGATGAAGAGATAATCAGTGTTATTCACTTCACCTGAACTTCTAAACGTTTTCCCATTAAGTACAGTGGAGATTTAGAAACATTTATTACATGAAATCTGGAATCTCATTGTTTTAATAATATAATAGCCATTCATAATATGACATTGTCCTGCAAAGGAAATCAAGACCTTAACAAACCCTGGCAGATGAAGTGCTTAGCGAAGCTGTTTAATTTCCCCTGGGGCTGCAATTATGTGATGGCAGAAAACAGGCTAATCAGAATTGATTAAGGAAAAGCTGTCCAGTGATTTATTTCAAGATGTCTTAACAAAGTCAGCCATATTTTCTGTAGTATTTGTCATGAGATCTCATTGACTTAACCAGTGGGAGAGCAATAAGTACCACTAACAATTATAGAAGAGACACTTAGAGCCCTATTTTAACGGTCTAAGCACTTGGTCTAAAGCGCACAGGCCAAGTGCACTTAAGTCCTGTCTGAATCCACTTTTGCCAGTTTAACGGCTGGAAAATGTTTGGCGCCCCTGACGCATGGTCTAAAAGGGTTGTCCCTATTCTCTTAATGAGTAATGAGTGTGTTTTGGGCATAACGTACAAAAAAACAAACAGAGTGTAATTTCCCATTCCCTTTAAAACCAAGGGGGTAATCCATCGACCGTAAATTGAAGCCTTGCGGGAGCTGCCATCTTGTAGCAGAACTTCACTTGCATTAGCATTTCCATTGACTCCCATTCATTTTGGCGTCACTTTGACAGCGAATAACTTTACATCTGAGGCGTTTGAAGACCCCATTTGTCCAATATTTATTTCTAAAGAAACACAACATTGTATAAATTGCTCCATTACCTTGTAGCTTATGTCATGGCCCCGTAGAAGCAATTTTTTGTAAAAGTAGGCTAATGACTGCGTCATAACCAAGCAACTCTCTGTCGCATAGTAGAGAGATTACCGTAAGGACAGAAGGAGGAAATCGGGGAAACGTGGAGGCAAAATGACAAAATAATGAATCAGAATACCTAGCAAAAGTTTCTCCTGCTCCTAGCTCATGGAAAGCTCCTACTCACACTCTCTGCCTCTGTGAATTTCGGAAGGGAATGATTCAGATTTCTCATGCCACAGCCACTAGAGGACAGACGGGTTGCTCACGTCACATCTACGTCGTCAAGCTCTGTTTGAGTCTGCGCGTCAGGGACGGAAGTGCTAAAAATCGCCAAAAACGGGCTACAATCGTCTCAATGGAGTTCCAATGAGATCGCTCTGTCCACTTCTTATACTGTCTATGTTTAAAACCCAGTTAGCGGAATAGCTATTTAACATGACGGAATTTGCAAGCTGAGCGCTTTTCTAGCGAGCAAACGGATCTGCTCGTGCGCAAGGCGAAAGGGTGAAGCAGACCATCTACGGGACAAGCCAGATTCCACCATATCTTTATGTACACAATATTAATCTTTTACATTGTAATCATTTTATTGTTATACTACAGAGTGTACATGTGTAGTGGACAGGCTTATAGGCCCAAATTACTAATGCGTCCTTTAAATAACACAACAAATACTGTGGCACTGACTTTAGACCACGTTTCAGTTGGTCAATGGGTCAGTCTATTTCAATTGCTTTAAAATAGCAACTCGCCAACAATGCGCCTGAACACACCTGGTTTTCAGACCAGCAGCCCAAATGGGTGACAAAAGGACAAAAAATAATTTTCTATTTAAACAACGCCACGTTTATTTATTTAAGCAGGACATGAGAATGAGAACTGCGTCAGGCTGAAACTAGCAAAAAAAGCTTGCATTGCACCGGGTGTATGATAGGGCCCTAAGAGGTTTTAAGTGGCTCCATCATACAGAATATGTTTTATCTTGAAGGAGCCCATGATTTGCAAGCTGGGATACAGCCAGGTTTTACCGCTGTGTCATAAAAAAGCACTGGAGGGTGATACAATTATGTGCGTTTCAAGCAGTTTTGAAGATGAATAGTTAAAAATGGCTAATCTAATAAACCCTAGTTCTTCGGGCCAGTGGAGAATAGCTTGTCTTTTCAACCTTGAATCTTTCAAATTATTCTGAAAGGTATTCAGAATGACAAATGATAAATCAATCAAACGGTGTACAATAATATAGCTGTAATTATGGTCTGATATAGGCATGTGTGCTGGTTTTTAACAGGTTTATAATCACAACATACTTTTTCTGAAGAAATCAATACATTTTAAATCAGTAAACCTTCAGGAAGGAATTTAACTGTAAATTGTAAATTGGCAATTTAAAAATATTAAATGGTTTTAATCTGGGTGTTACAATATATCGTGCCACAATACATCGCAATACAAAAGTGCAACAATACGTATCATGTATAGCAAAAATTAGTGTGAGAAAAAAAATTATGTTTTCAGAGTTTAATGCAAGTACTACATTGAACTACTATTTATAATGTTGATTATAATGTACTAATTTGTGTACAACAATGCAGTATCAAAGTTAGCATTTTAAATCAACAGTACATTTTTTGTTAACATTTTACCATATGTCTTGGAGTATCGCAATAATATCGTATCGTGAGTTCAGTATCGCGATATGTATCGAATTGTGACATGATGGTATCGTTACACCGCTAATGGGATTAGTCTATTATTTCCTTCTTCTAGGATCTTTATTGACACACAACTGGGACTGAAATTAATGGAGGCTCATGGCAAAAATACCATCAAAATAAACATTCCCTCGAAAATTAAGTTATACGGAAAAAATGTCCCAATACGAGTCCTTGAATTTTATATTTATAGCAATATAGTTAAGCAATAGGCTATCATCACACGAGCAATAGTGATGTTTCCATCTAAAAAGCATATTGCAAATGTGATATTGATATCACAGTTAAATAAACAAGAAGTTAATATTAAGTTACATTTTAGACACATATTGTCTGTTTTTGCTCCTTCAACAAAAATATCTCCAAACAAAGAGAAATCTGAATAGGATAAATCTCCATGTAAACAAAGACCTGACCAGAAGATGGTGCTAAATTCAAAAGATCAGATATAAAACAGCTCAGCCCTCAGCAAAATGCATTTTTACAAACACCATGAGCCACAGGTATCTACATTGCTGTTTTGTGATTAACTTGGTTAACTGTTTTGTGATAAACATATTCATTTAATGAAATATATCCAACCCCAACTGACCTCAAACACCATCAGTGCTAGTCAGATCCAAATACAGGTAAATGTATAGTGAACATTTGATCCCAACCCTTCAAAAATCATCTGTCACTAAATACGAAAGATAAATCAAAATGTACCCTGCCATTTGTTTCGACAAATTGCATTCACCACTGCAACCTATATAAGCCTACAATATTAAACAAATTATAAACATAACCAACTGTAATTTGAGAAGAAACAGACATATGAACATTTATTTACTTAAATTTGAAGTTTGAAATTACCTATTTTACAGCTGAGCTATTTAAAATGGCAATATAGCATACATTTTCTGTCTGATGATGCTGACAATTCTTAAATAAGCGCAGTTTAAAATCATTATTTTCAGTTCGTTATTAATAGCCTATAAATTGAATAATCACTATTAATAATTAGGCTATTGTACACGTTATTTATGTATTTTTTTAACATCTATTAAGTAAACCAAGGGAAAATAAATTTTTGAGAGGCAAAGTGTAGAATCAACGAGTGTCATCACGCATTTATACTCTCTTGCATAAACCCGAAACCCTTAAATAACTAGGCTACTAAAAGTTTATTCATTCATCCTTCCAACAAACTAATTCCTCAATTCCAAACATATCAACATGTTTCCTCTAATTCCACTAATGCAGTTCGCCAACATTTCAGCATTTACATTTCAATACGAAAAAAATAAAATAAAATAAAATAAATGGTGCTGAATAAATTTCCCGAATAGACAGTATAAACATTATGTTTTATTATGAAAAAATACACACCTGACTATGGCGTTTGAATACCTTCTGGACGACGCTGATGACTGGAATCTGTAGCGTTGAGGAAATAAATTCCAACTTCACCAGTTCGTCCCTGTTTTGTGGAAACGCGATGATGGCAGAAACTCCTTGCACGATGACAGTGTGGCAAACACTTTGCAGGAACGACACGGGATCGCCACTGGCAGATGTAGACGACGAGGAGAAGGAGAAAGCAGGTAGTTCCCCAAGTCCTGCTTCCACAGCCATGACTATCTCAAGGGTGAGGTTGTAGGGTAAAAGCCCCACCACTCGATTGAGAGTCTCTGTAGCGAGTAGAACAGAGTCTCGAGGTAGAAACACAGCATCCGTGCCCACTTGTTTGAGCGCGGTTTTACTTTTGGAGGCCTTGTTGGGGTTATTCGCTGAGCTTTTAGTCCTAATACCCCTCCATGCTTGTTCGTGCACACTTTGGATGACCGTGTCCCACTCTTCCCGCGTTTCCCTGTCTGCATCCCAGTCCGCGTCTCTCCCGCTGAGGTGATCCTGCCTGAATACTCGAGGATGCAGGTGCAAAGCTCCGACTCTCACCGTGTGCCCGATCCTCCTCAGAATCTGACATGGTTGTGGATGCGCCATAGATGCTGGAGGAACAAGGATCATTATCAATGCGCTCGGCGCAAGTAAGGAGAGCCACACCAACCTACCCAGCGCACCCCAAAACCAAGAGCCCGGCATTACTCCAAACAAGGCTCGCTCAAGCTCTGGAAACGACGGGATCCTCGTCCACCTGTGCGCCCGGTGGTTCCTGCACAGCGCTGGATAGATGATGGATCACCGGTGAATCTCCTAGACGCAGCAAAGTTACGCTCCTCTCCAACAGGCTTCTGAGGGATCGCCAACAGTGCACATGTCCAACGCGGCTCAAAACACTCGTTGCTCATTCTCAAAAGCGATTGTTGGCGAAATATTCCCTTTGTGAAATAATCAAGAGGCGGTTGTTTTTACGCGCTCTCCAATAACAGCCGAAAAGGCAGGTAATTAAAATGCAAAGTGACTGTAAAACCACCCAAACACGTTTGTTCTCCTAATCAATGTAAGGGATGTCCAAGAATATAAAAGAAATAATATAATTATTATTTCTCTTTATTTTTTATTTTTTGTATGCAAACCTTTATTCCTTTTTTTGATCACGAAAAATCGTGACGGACTACAGAAATTACACGTAAACTACTATTCCAAAACAGAAACGAGCGTTTGAATGGCTTACTTTACAGTTTAAACGCAGTGTAGCGCAGTGGAATTGTTCCGATAAACTCCCAGAACGGAGCTGGAATAGTTGGCATTATTGCACTGGCTGAGCGTTTAACCCGTTCACTGCTGCACTGACACACATCAATCATACATTCAGTATAGCATAGCTGATGGATTTATATATTTTTTTCTTCCCTAAAATATGGGTTAGGGCCCATTATCGTTTATGCAAATTTCAATCTACATGATATAAGCATAAATAAATGAATAAATGAATGATTGCTAACCCTATTACAATGTATATGCACGCACATTTTCTCCAAAAAGGTAAATCAAACAGATAAACAAATAGAACACATCCATTCCGATTTGATTTTGTCTGTATAGTACTCCTCACAAATACAAAAATAAATAAATAAACATCTAAAGTAGATTAAAAAAAATTATCGCACCAGTGAACAAGTTAAATGTGACAATGTTGCAAGGAAAGCAGATGTTGTGCTCATGCTGATACACTCAGATTAATGAAAAAAGTGTAGCATTTCCAATTTTCAGTCACAAGCTGTTAATCTGTTGAATCTGATAAGAATGATTCTTATTGGTTAGGAAGTATAACCTCTGCCTCTCCCTTGAATCATCAGCAGCCGTGCTGTCCTATCACTGCGCAGTCCTGACTTACGGCAGGAGAGGTTGGATAAGAGGAGGGGCGTGACACCAGAACACTGCTGTGGGTGAGTGATGAACAAGACAAATCTGATGGCTGCTGTACCTCATCAGTCACCACTGCCTTAAATCTCACACACACTGTTCCTTTGCTTAGACTGCGCATCCAGTGCGTCGGTTGCCAGGTCCATGAATGTCATCGCTTAGACGTGCTTTCTTCTTCAGATTATGATACATTCAATAATAACACAGTGTTGCGACCCAGGGTCAGCGATGAAACATAAACAAATAAGTGCCGTCATCGTGTGCTTGTTTCTTTATTCTACTTCCTTGACACCACTCGGATTAAAGGCAATCTGTCCAGGATTGGGAAAAAACTAAATAATTAACCAAAGATGGTGCCAACTAAACCCACAACCACTTGAAAATAAATAACAGTGGACTTCTTAAGTTAACTACTTAGTATTTACAATCGAAAATAAATGGTACCCATTCCCTATCCTCTGTGGCGGAGAAACACAAGAACGCCAATTCTCCCACTCACTCTCCAGCATCCGTGGTGTATTTCAAAGGATGGCAGTTTTCTGGTGACGAATCAACTGGTGAGCCTTCATATGTCCAATTAGAGCGAAGTCTCCTAGAGAGAGAGAGAGAAACAGAGAGAAAGTGGCCCTGGCTGTCACACTTAGGATGCTTCTCATTTCTTATTTGTCCTCCTTTCCTTTACTCTCTTCCTTTCCCTGCATCCTAGCTCCACCCTAATTAGGATGCAAGGAAAGAAAATGAGCGTGGAGGAATAGAAGGAAAGCTCATTTGTGTATTGGAATATTTTTGATCACTCAAGTGTCGCTTCAAGGCATCACCAGCTGTGCTGAAGGGATCTGCCCTAATGCTGTTGAATTAGATTTTTTTTTTTTTTAAGAAATTCATAATAAATAATAATAAAGCATATATGCCCTATTGAAATATGTGAGATGTTTTATTTAAACTGCAAAGGTAAAACATATATACAAAGATTTCAACTCTAGATGGCACAGGGTCATAAGTTCTTAAAGGAGTAGTTCACTTTAAAAAAAAAAAAAATTCTTCAGTCGTAAAGAAATTAAGGTTTGAAAACATTCCAGCATTTTTCTCCATATAATGCACTTTACTGGGACTCAAACAGTTCAAGGTGCAACCGTTTCAGTGCAGCTTCAAATGGCTTTAAACGATTTCAAGATTTGTTATCACAACATTTTTTCTTTTGTCAAATCTACTTAATAATAAATAATTTATTTAGTTCAGATAACTTAATATTTTGAGTTTCTGATGATTAAATCAATCTCCTTCATTGTATTAACTCATTTTTTTCCAGTTCATCAACTTAAAAATTTAAGGCAACCAGGTTACTTAATTTTTTAAGTTAAACCAACAATATTTTTTTTTTACAGTAAGGGTCTCATCTAGCGAAACGATTGGTCATTTAAAAAATGCTCACACATGCTCGCCTTGCTCATCTCTCCTGCTCGAAATCGTTCATCAAAATGAACAAATCTTTTTTCGAGTCATTTGGTTCATTCAACGAACGAAATGAATGAAATGACTCGATAAAAGATTTGTTCATTTTGATGAACGAGTTTGAACAGGAGAGTCACGAACGCGCGTCACAGAACAGAGCAAGGCGAGCGTGTCTATTCCACCAAAACGTTAAAATTGTCATATTACCATGCCAATCTTTTGAGAGTTGTCAAGACAGAATTAAAATAATTGTGATAGACATGAAGGGGAGGAATTGTTTACATTCCTCACATTTTTCAACAAGAATTGAGATGTCCTTCAAGATGGCTAACTAAATTAAGTTGAGAAGATGCTGCTGTCTGAACAAACCACAGGCTTACGAGAGGAAAGTGTACACCAATTACATCCTGCATGTTAAATTAAAATATTAAAATATATTGAGCAGCTTTCTGTTGTTTGTGTAATTTAGCTGTAATAATATGAAATTGATTGCGATCTCAAATCTATTATTCAGCAGAAGTTATTACTCCGCCATCTGTACGTGACTCTATTAATGACAGTTCTACTGTTGAACCAGCGTGGTTCAGATGACAGAGGTGTGAGCATGTTATGGTTGCGGCAAACAGACGTGACTAGATAGACTCTGATTCACTCTTATAGGCATTGCAATAGAGGAGTTGATCACAATGTTCATCTCATGCCGAAATGAATAATTAGGACACATGTTTTGGTACGATAACATGTGATGAGTAAAGTACCTTACATGAAACCTCATTTAAATAATATAACTCAGAGGCGGATCTTGGATTTTAAAATGGAGGAGACACCAGGGGTGCTTCTCAATATCCCTCCTCGTCTCCTCGCTCCTCCGTCCTCCCTCCTATGACCCGGAAACCGATCGAGCTCAGCCATCTTGAAGGACATCTCAATTCTCTAATTGCACAGTGAGGAGTCGAGGATCGAGAAGTGAGGAGGCTTCCTGAGGAGTCATAAGCGAGGATACACAGGTGCATCCTACGCGGAACTGTTATATTGACTAAACGTGACGCACGTGTCAATTCTCCTCCCCCTTCACATCGTTCACAATCATTTTAATTTATACTTTACCTTTGCAGTTTATATAAACCACACATCTCAGATATTTCAACAGTATAGTCTATCTTTATTATTATTTATTATGAATTTATTAAATAACCAAACTTCAACAACATAAGGGCAGATCCTTTTAGCGCTGCTGATGACACTGTGGAGTGACACTCGAGTGATCAAGTATTCCAATGGATATAAAAAAGCTTTTATTCGATTCCTCTGTCCTCCTTTCCTTTCCTCGCTTCCTTCCCTCACGTCCTACAGGGGGTGGAGCTGAGACGCAAGGAAAGGAAGCAAAGAAAGGAAACGAGGATGCACAAATAAGAAATGAGAAGGACCCCAGGCAAACTTAATGTAGCGGTCTGGGAATCCTCTCCTGATGATTTTTGTTTTAAAGGGATAGTTCACTTTGAAATTAATTTTTGATGTTTTATCTTACCTCAAGGGCATCCAAGATGTAGGTGTCTTTGTTTCCACAGTATTTTCAAATTTGATATTTTTAGGTCAAACCGTTCTTGTCTGTCAGTCATATAATGGAGGTATATGGGGTCCACCCTGGATCCACCTCAAAGAGCATGCACAGAGAAGTCCAAATTAAACATGATTTAATGATTCGTAAATGTAAGTACACATTGATGGCCTAAGACACGAAACGAGCGGTTTGTGTGAGAAAACGAACAGTTTTTATATCGTTTTTTCCTTTTGTAACCACAGCCACGTCCAAGTGATCTAAAGATCTTGGATGTGAGGTAAAAACGATATAAAAACTGTTCGTTTTCTCACACAAACCGCTCATTTCGTGTCTTAGGCCATCAATGTGTACATTTACAAAACATTAAATCATGTTTAATTTGGACTTCTCTGTGCATGCTCTTTGAGGTGGACCCCATATACCTCCATTATATGACTGACAAGAACGGTTAGACCTAAAAATATCAAAATTGAAAGTATTGTGGAAACAAAGACACCTACATCTTGGATGCCCTTGATGTAAGCTAAAACATATCAAAAATTAATTTTAAAGTGAACTATCCCTTTAACTGTTTTAAAATGGCTTCGTTGGTGACTTTAAGACATAAAATGTAAAACAAGTTAAAAAAGCACATTCAGCCATTTAGTGAAGTTGATTGCTGAGGCCTATTACTCCATGGAGTCTTAATTCATTTTTAATTTGTAGCTGCTGTTAGAATGGTAGCATGGTAACTTTTTTGGTGATCAAATATTTAAAATATATT